GACTCTGAGAAATAGCCACAATGCCTGTTGAATTGTAAAGTAGATTTAAATGAAATTTGATATTAAAATTAAAATTTCTTGAAAGAAGGGATACTTTTAGATAACAGGGCTGGTAGCGAGTCACTTTTTTCAAGCCAGTCACTAAAAAGTTTCTTTTTTTAAGGCCAAGTCACTAAAGTCACTTTTTCTTGTAATAAGTCACTATTTCAAACTTTTTTTTATCGTGAATTTATTTCAAGATTGATCATTCTTCTGGATAGACCTATATTTTGTTCTATTTTTGAACAATTCGAAGTTGACGACCTGGTACAGGGATTTTTTTACGTTTAATCGTTCTTCTCTATCTACAGGGTGTCCACTCATTTGGCTAAATAAAGTTCCCTGAGTTTTCCAGGTTTTTTCATAACTTTGGCGGATAATTGCCAGGTCTATGAAAAGAATACTATTTATGAAATGCGTTAAAAATATGCAAACTTTTTAAGACATGACAATCAGTTTTAAAGAAACAGCTTTAGCTCAAATCCATTAAATGTTGAAGTCGAACACTTACTTCATTTTAGTAAGTCTAAGATCACAACATTTTTAATGTCTTAACGTTTCGTACTATCAAAAATGTGGAATCTTTAATGAAGTTCTATAGAGCTCAGAAAAGCTAGATCTAGAGATCTTTGGGGAATTCCAGAGATCTTAAGGGGTAGTTCCCGACACTTGAATTGGTTTAAAAATCTATAAGTGTGAGTTTAGAAAAATTCACGATAGTTCCATGAGGTGCTGAAATAAAATCGAGAACCCTTAAGATGTTCCGAGAGATTCAGTATAGAGGCCTTCAGAAAATTTATAAAAACTTCAGAAATATTTCAGGAACTTCACAGAAATCCAGAGAATTCCATTTATTCAAAAAACAGAACTGAGATCTCTATTAGAATTGAGATCTTTCGGGAAGCTCCGAGAACATGATGACATCAGAGAATTAAAGGGCAGTTACAAAAATTTCAAGTAAATTTCAGAAACCGGAATTTTCGGAAACTTCGGTTTGCTCAGAGAAAATTTCTGGAACGCAATAAAAATTATATGAACATCCGGAAAATGTGAGCGTATTTCAAGGGTGTGTTATATCATGGGAATTTCAAGATGTATAGAAAATTCGAAAATTTAGCTAAGTTTATTAGATAAACATTTGATCAATTTAGAGAAATTAAGGTAAGCATAGAAAACTTCTTGCAGGGAAAATTAATGATTTAAGGCAAAGTTCCGTGAGCGTTTATAAACTTTATAAAAATTAAGGAAAATTGTAGAACTTGAAGGCAATTAAATTAATTCCAGTAAAATGGTGGGTTCTTTAAAAATATACTAAGGCAGGGCAGTATAGAGAATTTCAAGGAAATTGAGAAATAGTTTGGACAGTTTTAAAAACATCAGGAAACTCTAGACTAGTGAAGAAGTTATGAATTAGTTTCGATAATTTAAACTTCAGACAAATCTTGAGAACTTCAGTGAAAATCATAGAACTATATTAATTATTTCGCTGCGGAGCGGAAGCCTAAAAAAGTTCCTGAAAGTTCAGAACAACTTCGAAAATTTCACAGAAGTACACAGATCTTCAGAAACATTTTGAGAACTTCATAAAAGTCTATGGAACTTAAGGGAAGATCCGAGAACTTCAGGAACTTTTATGGACATCTTGGGAGCATCCCAAATAAGTTTAGTGAAGCTCTAAAAACATAGGGAATTTCAGGGGAGTTCAGTTCAATTAATTTCAAGAAGTTCCCAGATTTTCAGAGAACTTTAGAGATGTTAAGAAAATTATTGAGTTTTTCACATAAGTCAAGTTCATGCAAGCTTAAATATTCTTAGAACAGTTCAATTTAATTTATGGTAGTACAACAAGCTTCATGAGAACTGCAAACACTTAAGATAAGTTTCGAGAACTTCGAGAAAGATATTGATCTCGCTAATAAAGCTCTAAACAAAAAAAAACTTCAAGAAAGAACGGATATCCTCAGAGCAGAGATATTCCAGAGCAGGGATATTACATAAATTTTAAAAAAGTTTCGAGAAATTCAGTAAAGATTCATGATCGTTAGGAAAATTGTGGAGACTTTAGGAAGTCCGAAAAAGTTTAGAGAAGTTATAAGAAATGATGAGAAGTATTGCGAGCATCAGGTTCGTTTCTCAAACTACAAAAGAACTTCAAGGCAGTTTAATTAAATTCAGGAATATTTTGGGAACTTTCAAGTAGTTATGAAGACCTCAGATTAGTCCATTCCATATTCAACGGAGCTTAGGCTTCACATGAAGTCTAAAATTCCTCAGAAGTACCATGAAAGCAGATTGCAGTTGACGTTTTCCTCATAATTTTTTTTTTCCAGAACTCCCGTGGAATAAGGTCCTTAGAATTTATAATAAAATTCCATGAGCCTTTAAACTGTGCAAGGAATTCGACTCCAGATTCTTGTAAATTTCTGAAAGTATTATTACTTTTCAGTTCAGAATTTATAAATTTATGTATTTGTTACTGAAGATTAATCCATTGTGGATCTATAAAGTTCAACGTGTGAATGAAAATAACTAGGAATATTAAATGTTTTTATTTTAAAATGCAGTCTTAGTAAAAAAAAAAATATTAAATTTCCTAAGAAATGATAAGATTCCCTGATCCTTTCAGGTATTTTCAGGAAAAATAAATTTCCCTGCGAATTCCTGGTTTTCCATGTTTTTACAGGTAGTAGAAGCTTGGAGGTTTAGTCATAAACTGTCTATTGAATCTTTCACTTTGGTTCCTATCGTACATATTTAAGTGTTTGTGAGAATCTAATTGAATAAGTCAAACATTAATTTGGTATGCCATCAGAACGACTAATTTATTTCCCTTAGGCACTTTTTAGTCACTTTTTTACAACTTTAAGTTACTATTTGGTCACTTATTTCTTCAACATGGTCACTAAAATCACTATTTTTGACAGCATTGATCGCTACCAGCCCTGGGTAAATTGCTCGGCGCTTATCTACTATATATATTTCTTAATAAACTCGGCAGCAAGTTGCGTATCAAATGGACTTGTACCTTATAGTATTTACGTATTCGTACGCGTCTGGGAAGAAAAAGAAAAATTGTATCATCAATTTGATGCTTGCAGATAATTTCGCTGATTATCATAGAAAGTGGAACTTAATGATGGCCTAAGTGCTTTTTCGCAGCTTTTAGTTTTCGGATTTGAAAGATCGTCGGTTGGCTTGTTTACTGAACAGAAAATCGCAGTCCTATGATCGAGTCGCTTGTTTATCGTGTATTTTGCGAAACTGTTCCGGGTTTGAATGGTTACAACAACTCGAGTAACGGTATGATGTGTTAAGAGGGGCTCGATGGCCTTAGAGTGACCGTATTTGCTTACTGAACAAAACATCATGAGTCGAATCTCAGGCCCATCTACATTCAAGATTCGTCAATCATTTTATTTGTTAATATGACTACGTGCTAATAGCAGCAACTCGATGATTACAAAGGAGCTCGTTTGCCTAGAGGCAAACGTTTTTGCTTACTGAGCAGAAGCCCGTGGGTTCAATCCCAAGCTCCTCCACGTTAAATGATCGTTAGGACATATACGAACCCTGCTGCAAACCCAACCCAACATCCCAATGATTCCTCGTGGAAGTGCAGAGGTGTTCTCGGCTTCCATCAAAGCGAGTGTCAAGTCAACACATTCATACCCATTCCTTTCTTGACCTGCGTTCGGGCGCAGCCGGTGCTGGTAATACCTAGTTTGTGGTCACCAGTTTTTACACATTGAGGATAAATTCTAGTCCCAAGCATCGTTGGGTTCTCTGTGTAATTACGGCTGATCTGGCAATAACAGAGTAGCAACCGTGGGCGGTCAATCATGCTCATGTTCATTGATAAATTTTATTCTAAAATAAACAAACATTTAATTCAAAGTACAGCATCCTTAATTGAATGAAATTTTGATATTTCAAAATTCAGTTCCTATCCCATTCAAAGGTTCCAAACATGAACAACCAGGTACTTACTGAACAATGTTTATTTACAGTAACCAGAAATGCATTAAACCGGTTCAAAATACTTCAAAGTATGTCACACTATATTATTTCATTTTGCAACAAATTGCAACTCAATGGACTTTATTATGTTTATGACAGTGTAGGTATGTAAATATGTATTGTAACGCGTGTTAGTCTAATTTGTCTTTTTAATTTCTCTTGAAACCAAGCTTGCAAATGCTCATTTCAGCTAAAATAGTTTGTTTAATAATTCCGAAAAATAGTATCCTAGTTGAAATTAGCATTGCGAGGCGTAAACGAGAAGTCGTTCAATATGTTTGCTTGAAATTGTGATGTATTTTAAAACACTTGAAAATATCCCACAGCATCAGTCATATTTTCCAACAAACATTTCACGGAACCCTTGTTCACAACATGTCAGTCAATCAGCCGGCGAGGCAAGGTCCAGTTCCTGACCTTCCTCAAGGAAAGAGGTAGGAGACAAACAATGAAACCAACGCCGCTCAATATGTACCTCCTGAAGCTGAAGCTTTGGGAAATTTCCATTCATCCAGAACATCCTATCTCGAAACATACGACGACGACAACGGACGGCTTGGAGCTTGGTTCATGTGCACTCGCGTGAAAACGCATCGGCCATAAGCCGTAGGCCGCAGGTCGAAGAACGCAAATAAAAGCGAGCGTCGAGCCGGGCAGCATGTTGCTATGTCGAAAAAGGGAGCATCCCGACCCGACACGTACGGACTCAGCTGAATCTTGAGCACGCGTCCCCAGTCCATGTTTGGGAGGAACGTTTGCGGTGGATCATCAGCTGATATCGTGGTTCGAGTTCGACTCGCAGCGGCAGCTTCGTGTGTCAACCAATACGTCGTAAAGTGCGTTTGATGCATTGGCTGTATTGTGGCTACGGCGCGTAGAGTGTGCTCGTTCGCGCCCGTATTCACGGTTGTCGTGCCAGCAGTGGAGTAGTGTAGGCAACAGACAACTGGAGGGTGAAATAAATATATAAATGAACGACCCGAACCTGCTTCGCATTCAGTTGCATTTCGTTCGTCCTTCCGAGTGGTTTCTGTGTTTTCATCTCGTCGTCTAACGCATTTTATGTGAAGTGATTGGCCTCCAAGCTGTAATCAGTGAATGTCACCCTGTTTCGTTCTTATGAACAGATCGAGAAGTAGTTCAACCACCAGTGGAAGTGTGAATCCCAAGTTTGGGTGATTAGAATTGTGCAGTGGAAAACGTGGAGAGATCTACGTCGTAGCGAATAGGGACAGTTGTGCCTGCCGTTCATCGATAGGCAGTGCGGATATTACCTTTTTCTACTGTTCGCTAACTGAAAGGAATGCCCTTTAATTGCAGTCGCGACTGTGTTGGTATTAGATACCGCATCAACTCCCTGCACCAGACCTGGAAGTGGCTGCACCAGACCATCGCCCTGCACGAGTATCTGATCTCTATGAGCTCGTCCGATACAGACGTTACCGGCCAGGAAATTAAGTGCGCGATCTAAGGAGAAATCCAACAACACAGCCTACCGAAATCTTACCCTACTAGCGTATTAAGCAAAAGTGTTAACTAAAATAGCAGCAATCAATCAGTTCAATAGTGTTAAGGTGAAAAGAGCGAAGATTGTCAACTTTTTTTAGCCCGAGAAAAAGAACATTTACAGCCTTCCTACTATCCGTTCAACTAGTCAATTCAAAAGTGTAAAAAATCCGTGAACTGTCTTTGCGACGAGAACTGTCAACGAACACTGCCAACATCGAAAAATTAGCTTGTGATATAAATTTAGAACTCATTGATCCCGAACAGTGCAACCCATCAAAAGTTCAAGAACTATCCGAAAAGGAAAACTACTCCTGAAGATCCATCATCCTATCCCATCGTTCGTTACGCAATACACAACACTGTAAAGGAAAAAATCATAACATCGCCCCCCAAAAATTTAAGCCCACCAGGGAAGAAAAAGAACAAAAAGTGAAATTATATATAGGACAAAGAGATCAAAATAAAGAAGTGAGAAAGTTCCAAGATGGCTGCCCTCATTGTACAACGCTGCAATACAGCTGCACGGGCCGTGTGCAAGCTGTATGTGGCCAGCACTGGTACGAACACATCACTGCTGGCGCGAACCATCACCACTACCAGCCCGGTGCAAATTCAAAACAACAACAACGGCGGCAAAGGCAAACAGCTGTCGTCGGCCGACGTGAAGAAGATACCGGACAGCGAAGTCAGAAAGTCCGTCTTCATCTCCCAGTCGAACGATATCTACTCGAACCTGGCCCTGGAGGACTGGATCTATCGGAACTTTGATTTCGCCCATCATCACATCCTGATGCTGTGGATCAACTCGCCGACGGTGGTCGTTGGGCGCCATCAGAACCCATTTGCCGAGGCCAATGTGTCGGCACTGATGCGCAATGGGATGGAACTGGCCCGCCGGAACAGCGGCGGAGGAGCGGTCTATCACGATCTGGGCAATCTGAATTGTACCTTCTTTACGCCACGCGCTCGGTACGATCGGAAGTACAACTTGAATCTGATCACCAGGGCGCTGTACCGCGAGTACGGTATCAGTGCGGACATCTCCGACCGGGACGATATCACCGTGATGGGCAAGAAGGTGAGTGTAAACGCACAAGGGGTGGTGTTGGGAACTGGTTTTCTTGTATAGGTATATGCTGTTCGGTGTTGTGTGTTAGAACACTATGCTAGCGCATAGGAAGGAGCGGACAGAGGCTGATAAAAACGGGTCTAGAGTCGAATGGAAAATTCCATCGCTATGATGCTCGGATGTACGTTGTATGATTTTCATTCAAAGTGTTTTTATGTTACTTCATACGCGAAGTTAGCGTTTTCAGAGTTGGTTGGAAATGCTAACATGAAGCTTTATAGCGAATCCGTTTATTATTCAGTTCTAACCTGGATCGGGTATCAATATTGGGTCTGCTTGTTTTCTGACAAACGTCAGTTTGCTCGTTTGTTTTTAAAAACTAGCTCAGGTTGAGGTTCGCACTGACAAAAAGTTCGGTTTCGCACTGGGTTGGAACTGATTCCAACCCCGTTAATAAACGAATTCGCTATTAGTGTGATAATTTATTTGCTAGAGAGAATGATCTTTAGAAGAGGGTAGGTGGATAGTTCCGTTAGAGTACGGCAGTATGAAAATTGAATAGAAGTTGAAAATGAGCGAAGGGCCATTAATGCGACAGTTTTTGAAGTCAGACGCACATCTTTTGCCTAACCCGTACGATGTACGCGGAGACTTGAAGTATGTCTTCAAGTCTACAGGCAAAAGATGTGCGTCCTCCTTCTGCTCATAACTGACTGCGGCTGTGGATAAGTTCTAGCGACGTTTCATCACTACCTAAAGCCCCACGTTTTGCGAGAGCATTTCCAGTCGATGTGATTATCACACTAAAGCTTCATGTTAGCATTTCCAACCAACTATGATTTTTCAATTTATTGGGTTCAATTCGTGCAAAAAGTCACAGATAAAAATATTTCGTTAATTCAACCGTTGCATATGCGATCGTTTTACTTTAAGTTATTCATTGAAAAAGTAAGAGCTGAACTTCACATGTTCATGTCAATTCATGTCTCAGTTCATTAGATAGTAAATGCTACGCTGATGTGCGCTTTATTTGCAGTATAGCGTGGATTTTTCTCCCACTAGTCTGGTTCAGTTTTAATTTTATTTGATGTTTCATGATATTGGACATAACACATTTTACAAAACCACAGATTTGATAAAAACAAATTTTTAAGGACTTTGCAAAATTTTGAAAGCTCATGAAATTGAATGAATGAATTTGATGGGGATTTAAATGGAACTCTTTCCAATTGGAGTTCTGGGAAGAATTGGCACCCCTCGGTGGTACTTAGTATGGGAGCGAGTTGTCAATTTGGTAGTGAACTACCTTTTCAGCATAATTTGGTTCCTTAGGGGTATTGAGGTTATTGAATATTCGTAATCTGCATATCAAATGGAACCAAAATCCGAAATTTTATCAATTTTGGAGCACTGGATCTATTTTAAATAAATGTGTTTGAATCAGAGTTGCAACCTATCACAATCACGATCGTCAAACAGCTGATGTGATGGTAGTAACGCTTTGTACATTCCTATCGATGTGCTCGTCGAAGCTCTCTCCATGATCATCCATCAAGTTGACGAAAGAAGTAAAAAGCAACTGGTGAATGTCGTCTTCTGTTGTGATCCATCACCGATCTGGTCATTCCCGACAATCACGACACTCATCTGTGCTCGTTTTCAAGCAGTTGCTGGTTTGCTTGCTTATGTGAGTGTGTTGGTCAGTGAGCCCAACAGCTTCCGTTTAATGGTGCCTGCTTTGTTTGTACCTGTCGAGACGAATTTGGAATACGCAGGCATTGTTTTCATATTCTTCTGTCGTTTCACTTTTCTCATGATCGTACTACAGAAGTCTTCACTGTTTTCGTTGTGCATTTCATCATCAGCAACGAGTGTAACTTTTTACTTGTGAGCAACGACCATTACTGGTGATTGTTGTTTGCCATGGCTCTGCCACTCACTGCGTGACAAAACCTTCTGTCAGCGATAGTCGGTTGATGCGTAGACGAGTGTCACGTGAGAGTTATGATATTTTGCATCACTGGTTTGAATTAGCAAATCACCCCTATTCTGTATTTCGTTTCGAACGAAATTCTCATACAAAAAAATATTTTTTTGTATGAGAATTTCGTTCGAAACGAAATTCAGAATAGGGGTGAATATCACCATCTTAGCGCCCCTCGATGGTACTTTGTATGGGAGTGAACTGTCAATTTGGTAGTTTTGTAACAAACAGTGAATCTTGATTTTAAAATCGAGATGCAAGTAAATGGGATCGAAAAAATATCGTTTTACTCAGAAAACGAAGCTCTTTCAGATGATATATAAAAGGCGATAATTGTTTCAAAATTAAAGAACCCAATTGTGAGGAAAATACCAACTTGAATCTACTTTCAAGGTAGTTCTGAGGAATTCCAGGCTCAATGTGAAACGTAAAGAGAATATCAAGGTAGATCTGTCTTAGTAGAATTCCAACAAAGCCACTGAATAGGATTCAAAGGAAATTTTAATGAAAATCCATTGGAATTTCTGAGCTAAACTCCTAAGGAATTCTGATGAAATTTGGAATAGAATACTGAGAATAATTTCAAGAAGTTCTTTAGAGAAAAATAAGCCGGAGCAGAACTTCATGGTGGTAAATTGCGAATAATTGCAGGAGAGCTTCAAAATAATCCGGAGAAGCTTCCCAACAGAGTTTTGATTCGGATGCAAACTAATTTTGAGGAGAATTTCATACTAATTAAATGAAAACTCATACTTTCATACTAATTAAAAGAAAACTCTGATAATAATTCCACGAGAATTCTGAGGAAAATTCCAATTCTTTAGATCGCCGCATTTGAACTCTCCACAGCAGCTTGCTTTTGGAGTTAATTTCCAAGGGAATACTTATAACAGTTTCTAGGGAATTAATCGTTGGAAATCGTTTCTGCACTTATTGGCCATCACTGTTGAGTGTGTGGTGACATCTATTAAAAATTACACAAACTGTTTTCCATGGGTTGTAAACAGAGGAAAGTGCAGTCAACAAACATAGAAATTCCTTTCTCAGACTTCAAAACATATCTGGTAACTCTACTTATGCATTTCTCAACATAAAACTTGCTTCCCTAATAAAAAATAACCATAAACGAACGATAACCCAAATCATTGAACTATTCCACAAATGGTTTGGATGATACCCAGAACACGTCGTTAAGCAAATTAACCATACAATTTTTATTAGGGTTGCTAAGCCCCGCCCCAGTCAGAAAAAAAATGCGTGAAATTCTGGTTGAGGCTGGGCATATCAAGCAAGCTGTGGATTCTTGGACGTCTTGGATTCCTCACAACGCTCGCTCTGAAGCTATTGGTACGAGAAAGTTTCTCGCACGAGCTTAAACGTCTGAAGAATGGCAGAGAAGCTCGAGAACCATCAAATATACTGGCAGCCGGCTTCGTCACGCATCGATTCCTACCCGTCGCAAACACCCGAAAATTCTCACACATCGTCGTTGTCCACTACCATCGTAAGATGCTGCATGGTGGACAGCAGTTCATGATTTCGTCTATACGAGAACGATTCTGTCCAACAAGCGTCCGGAAAGTCATCCAATAGTCCGCACCCTGTCTTAGAGTGAAGCCGAAAATTCCAGCAGACTTCCGAGCCCTTGCCATTGAGAGAACCCACAAGGCTACGCTGTAAAGGAGAAACTCGCATGCACATTCAATCATTTATGGATGCCTCTCGATAACCACATGCAACAGACCACCTTGATGATAAACATGCACACTACTTTCCAACTATGCTGCGAATCCAGTATGTCTGCTGTCGCTCCTGGCTGCTTCGTTATCGTTCCTGGCGCTTCGATCGTCGTAAAATGGCTCACCTTCAAAATGTGCTCTCCTCGTCACCGTTCGTGATCACACCGCGAAACGCACAATTGGACCGCCGAAAAATGCACTGCAATGCGCCAACAATTTTTCTATTGCGCCAAAGCTTATTCACTTCATACACTGAGTCACGCTTGACCGCAGAATATAGAGGATGTTCCTGAATATACAGTTTAACAGCACGTAATGTTGTGAACAACTTCAATGACAGTTGTCCAGCAATGCTCCCATTTTATTTACAACGATCGAATGAACGTGATTGTGCCGAAGGTGTGCCGATGGATGTGCCGAATCTAATTTCGGCACAATGTGCTGAGTGACTTACCCCTTGGTAAGAAGCCAGTTGTCTTCTCTTCCTCTTAGACGAGCACCGAAAAACTACATGCCAGCACTAAGCAGCCCGAGCTAAAAAAATAAATAAAATAAAATAAAAGCACGCAGCGGAGCAAAAACACATAACCGTTCTTGACCGATTCTCAAAGCGGTCCCCTCCATTGCCCAACAAACAATTCAGAGTCACAAATAAGCATATATAGTGAATAAATGCTTTATAACAGTGTACAATACTGAATAAAACGGGTTGTCAAATTATGTACTGAAAAAACCTCATTAAGATCGATAGATGCGCCTTTATTCCGCTATTTGCTCTGATTTGATTAATATACTTATTGAAAGCTATACAAACGATGACTGTCTTCCTGATTCAACACCAGAAGTTTGATCTTATAACAAACTGAATAAGTGTTATTTGCACATACATTGACGCTTTAATTCGACTGTTTTCAATTCATTTAATAGCATGCTTTATTGTACGTCTAATAATTGTTTTCTAGGTCCATTATTAGATTCCATTGCATTGCTTAACAATATTGCTGAATAAAGGTGAATACAGTCAGCATAATAGCTCTTATACCACTATTCGTCCATGTTTTAATTGCATGCTTTGTAAATGCTTTACAAACGGCGTATTAATTCATTATTCCACAACACTGTTTCAGGCAAACAACAAAACGACATTGGTTGCATAGTGGTTACCGTTTCCGCCTTCCAAGTAGAAGGTCGTGAGTTCAATCCCAGCCTCATCCCTGTTTTTTTATTTATTGTCTACACCTAATTAATTTAAATCGTAATCATAGATCGTATCGCTCACGACAACCAATTCATCGATCTATCGAAAAGAATAGCCCAGAATCCATCGAATTTAGAGAGATGGAGAGTTAACATTGGTCTCATGTAAAACAAATATGAATGAATTAATCATTCTCACATCTCCTTGAATTAGCTAGAGTTACGGCTAGGCGTGCTGATAGGTATTCAGATTCAAGCTTTTATTGCTTATGTAGCCAGAAATGCCAGGCTTATTTTGAAAAAATCTGGCAAAACCCGAAAAAAATGTCTGGCAAAAATCTGGCACAGCAAATATACATAGGGAGCTGCCAGATTTCTCAAAAAATCTGTCTGGCAGAGCTTAAATTTCTCTGGCTGTGCCAGATAAATCTGGCAACCTGGCAACGCTGTATGTAGCTGCCCATATGATGTATGCTAGGATAGCTCAGATGGCAAGGCAAGCGGTTGATGATCGGAAGGTCATGGTTCGAATCCCATCTAACGACATGTGTGTATGTATGTATATAATAAATTTTCTAGTATCTGTGTGGGTGGGTACGTGTTTCGACAGAAATAATGACACAACAATCACTAACGAGAACAACGCTGGCTTCTGTCCCATTGCATTACAATGACAAAACTTAAATTAAAGCAGTATTTTATTTCTATTCGCAATTTTAACACGTGAAAATAGTACATATCATAAGTAAGACAAAATTGTGACAAATTGTAACAAAACAGTTACAAAGCAAACCACAAAAGTCACCTATTGACTTCCATAAAAAAAAAAAAAACATTTAGAATGAAAAACAAAATGCGATCGAGTTCATATTAATATTGGCTGGAACCTGATAAGGAACCGTGCGGATGGTCACGTCCACTATATTTCACTAAACTTCAGCTTGACAACCGAGCTGTGATCGAGCTGCAAAAAATATCTGTTTTTGCAATTTCCTTTCCAGCATCGACGCATTGCCAAACGCCATGCTCGGACATGTGGACCGAAGCTGACGACGATCGGGGGGTCATTCGCCACTATATTACGCCGGTATCACGTGCTGGAAGCGTGACTTTGCTGGCGCAGAACCGGTTTTCCAATTGTTTATGTTTGCCCACATTGATTCGGTTTTGCATTTTCTACCTTTGGATGAATGTTTACTATATCCCTAATCACGTGCGCGCGCGCTTATTGCCAGGTTTAGTACCGGTTTGCGCCAATGTTGGTCGAAATGGGTGTGCACCGATGCTCCTTATCAGGCTGGTTGATGGGGGCGATTGAATACACAGATGCGGATTAGTATGATCCTTGAATCAAACCGGTGAACTCGTTTTTGGAACTGACTTGCTTTTCTGGATGGTTAGTTCCAAGTTGAGGTTCATTCAACTTGTATTGAAAGCCAAACAGTCAACGACATTGGCGATTGGCATAGGTTATTTCCATTAACTGCATTAATAACGGATCCGTTGTCCAAGGTTCATTGAGTCGCCGCGTGTGCATGTGTGTCAATTGCTTTGTTTTCTGTGTACTCGTGCGTTCTTGAGCTTGTTCTGTCAGTTGTTTATCTTCATCGTCTTTTTCGGTGTTACCGAAAAGAAATGTTTGCCTCTTGGTTTTTTGCCATTAACTTGAAATTTCCTGACAGTCGGGATACTTACGTACATCCATTAGCGGGTTGACGTGCGAGCTGTCCCATAAATATAGGGGGTTCAGTTGTGCGTGTTTTCAAAATGAAAAACGCGATTTCTTTCTCTGTGGTCTCTGTTCACGTTCGGGACGCGTGGCTGCATTTTCCCTCGGCTGCACGTCACTAGTCTTCCACATTGGAAACGTACATTTTTAGAAAAAAAAAATCGTTCTTTCAAATGATAAAATCTAATGCCAATTTCCATCTCCTTCCCATTACAGATCTCAGGCACCGCGGCTAAACTGGGTCAACCTAACGCATACCATCACTGCACCCTGCTGGTCAACTCGAACAAGCTTCATCTGGGAGAATCTCTGGTCAAAGACAACGTAAGTACCAACTGCACCCGTCTAATAGCTCGAGCTTGTTGCCATATCATAAATTTTTATAAGATCTTGATTGATGCACAAACAACTTGTTTGTTGCTTTGTCTGACCTCACACGACGATGGCAGAACATTTGCATAGAAACCGTCTCGGCCGAGAAAATGAATGTCTTATCAACCGTCACTGTAATCTACTAGACAAAATCTAGACAAACAACACTTTCAATTTCAGTTGAATGCCTAATTAAGAACCTTTCGTTGATAACGTACAAAGGAAATCCTCATCCTCAATGACACATGAGCTGCAAACACCGATTTCGATTTCCAATAAGCAGTCACCGGGAGTGATAAACTTCATCGAACTTTAGACCTTGGGCTTCCTTGCGACGTATTCCTACTAGATATAGGTTACTGCCGCATCTTAATGTGTACCGTGCATTTGGCCGAAAACAAAACAACCGGTTCCAGAAGAAGCCGGTATTGTCGGTGTTATCGGCTCTCTGACTGATTGTTCCCGGGCTATTCGACGCTGATAAGAAATCAAACAAAGCGTAGCATTCAAGACGAGTTAGCGGTAGAAATAATTTCCAATAACAAGGTAAATACGGAAAATTTTCCACAACACGAGTGCCCCAATTTCTGAAAAAATGGTGTGCAAAATGTATCATCGTTTGTTGATTTGAACTGAGTTCCGTCCGGTTAGAACCGCCAGTTTGAACTGGTTACATTCAAGTGGGTGAATAAGAAGAAGACAAGACAGAAATGGGAAGATAACAAACATGTTAAATGTGTATGATAGCTGTGGCAGCCGGTTCAAAACAACGCCAAGTGCGTAATTCGAATGATCTGCCGCCCCGAGACGTGGGGTCCAATGTCCACGAAGCATAGTGCAGGGAGGTTCAGAGCACAGACCTGCCTTCCAAGTTTTTTTTTCAAAACAAGCGGCTTTCTCTGTGTGTTGTTGCTTCGGACGACTTGTTTGCGTGATTGGATTTTGAAGCCGATAGACTCAGATATGAACTCCTTTATTTTTTTTTATTTTTTTTTTGATAATACATTTTTGTTTAATCAGGTTTGTCAGTGCGAACCGAGTACAAAGTAAGGTTATAGTTTACAGTAGAAATACTCAGAAGGAGAGTTGGGCGGAGAAAACAAAACACAATTCGGCAGCAGGGATTTGTTTCTAAATTATCTTGCAACCGTTGCTAAAACTTAGCATTTCACATAACTTTTACTTTTGATTCGATTTACGTGTAAATTAATAATTGATTGCATCGCAATATTTTGCTCATTTTTTGGTGTCATTAATTAACCAACTAAGATCAATTAACCACTTCATTCGAGCAGATAAAATGACGTTTACTACCACTCGAACTTTGAAATGAAACATTATTTTGAGATTTTTTCTTCTAGAACCTCGAGAAAAGTAGCCAACATTTGTGCGTTTTATAAAAAAATAGAAATTAGTTGGTCCAGTTTTGTGAAATCGCTAGTAGAAAGTCACGCCAAAACTGCTTGACAAAGTGGTCAATTAATCAATAGAGCTAGAATATTGCTTTTGATTCCAAAAACTAGTTGAATTTGAGAGGCACACGAAACATAAAGGTGATTTTATTTCTGTTCGATTGCAATACGCTCAAATTTAATATAGTAAGAATAAGAAATCCTCGGAAAAAATCTAATGGGTTTGGCTCTGATTTTGACAGTTCATTTGGCTCAAAAAATTCTCTCCGCTCATCTCTCCTTCTATCAGCGCTGCCATTTATACAGATTTATCTGTATTATACAGATTTTTTAATCTTAATACAGACCCGATACAGAATACAGATTTATCACAGATTTTTAAATTACAATACAGATTTATACAGATTTTTATAAAATGCTTGAGAAAAAAATCTATATCAAAATAAGTTATCAAGCAGTTCTCACTAATATCAATATATGTTATAATTTTGATATTCTTCGCATATCTTTTAGCTCTCATTTTTGTTCTGTTACCCGCATAGAAAAGAACCATTTCTAGAACAGTTCAAACTTCACTGACACCTTACTAGCTATGTTAACTTTATACAAAATAGTTTTGTTATGGTTTATGGAATGTAATAAACAGAAAAGAAACATTACTTTCTACTGTTACAGTTTCTGGTATATTCCAGCTACATTTGTTACGGTTGATCAACTACGAAACTATTTTGAACTGTTTCAAAACATTACGAATAATAGTTGTATATAAACACAACCTTACTGTTACCACATTGAAAATGGTTTATCTTCCTGTGAAAACCATAATGAGAATGGTTCAGTCAACTTTAATCGAACCGTACCTAGGTAAAGTTTTGACCATATTGATTAAGGTTTTCGAAGACCTAACCATACGAATAATGGGTGGTTAAGAACGTTCACCATACGAAATCTCACTTTTTCCCATACATTTTTTGCAAAGAAACTATGGGCTAACCACATCAGAAAAGGTTCAAGTTGGAAATGTGAAACCTATTTCCATTAACGTTCGAATAAGGTAGTACGTTTTAGAAACAACCATTGTTGTTAACCTCAATATATACTATGAACGGGTAGAAATGACCATACTTATTGACGTTATAATACTGTCGTAGCTTATGTGGAATACAGCAGATATAGTTTGTTCTTTAATTTTAATGTGATTTACAAGATTGCTTTTTGAGAATACCTCTCCCTTCACTTGGAAATTGTTTTTATTGTTCTTCAGATAAACATAGCACTAAAAAAATATACCCTGCAAAACAAACCTCCATTCTATTTTAATAAATAGATAAATTTTTACCAGCAAAATGAACCTGCTTCGATTTCCTGTTTGGGTTGATGTGAGCCAGAAGAATCAAAATTTCCAACCCATGTAGACCGCTGTTACTTATCCATGATGGTTGGGATTGTCAAAGGCCCTAGATATTTTTGTAGGAAATACATGCTATTTTAGAAATACTTTAAACTTTAAGCTGGTATTACTTACCTTATTCATTTTTCTCAACGATAAAACATGTTTTCCATTTGGAGTAGTTTTAAAAATAAAATAATAAAGCAAAAAAAAAAACCGTGAAGTCATGGCTGCCGTTCCAAAGAAAAAACATAAGGCAACCATAAGCGAAACACGTAAGCATTGTACAAGTTGTATACAACTATTATTCGTAATGTTTTGAAACAGTTCAAAATAGTTTCGTAGTTGATCAACCGTAACAAAATGTAGCTGGAATATACCAGAAACTGTAACAGTAGAAAGTAATGTTTCTTTTCTGTTTATTACATTTCATAAACCATAACAAAACTATTTTGTATAAAGTTAACATAGCTAGTAAGGTGTCAGTGAAGTTTGAACTGTTCTAGAAATGGTTCTTTTCTATGCGGGTACCTTATTCGAACGTTAATGGAAATAGGTTTCACATTTCCAACTTGAACCTTTTCTGATGTGGTTAGCCCATAGTTTCTTTGCAAAAAATGTATGGGAAAAAGTGAGATTTCGTATGGTGAACGTTCTTAACCACCCATTATTCGTATGGTTAGGTCTTCGAAAACCTTAATCAATATGGTCAAAACTTTACTTTAACTTTCACAGGAAGATAAACCATTTTCAATGTGGTAACAGTAAGGTTGTGATTTATGCGGGTAGCCATCAACTCCATCAAAATGAAATCAATTTGAGTTATCAGGAATAATGAAAACAACATAATTCTTGTTTTCATTTTGTTCTCACCCTCTGCTCGGGAACCTATCAAATTTCCATCGACAATTAATCATGTGATGGTGTTTTTGACAGCATTCACAACCAGAGGACCAACCGCTTTCGGATGCATATGGAGCTGGTAGTAAACGATTTGAGATTGTATGGGGATTTACAGTATTAATTGAATATTTCCAATATAAGCATGTATGTTAAATACAAGAAAAGTGCCCGAGCACATTAAAATGGTACAAATACAAGTACTCGTAAACATTTTACTTGCATTGAAAATGTATTTCGTAAGAAATTGCGGATTTTCTGATATTCTCCATACTGCAAAAATGATTTTACCAGCACTGGCGGGGCGACATCTCTTGACTTTTCGGTGTAAATACCACACAAATGATGTAATTAATTGTATTCATCTATATTAAAAATATCAAATAGTAATGAACTCGTGCACTTTTTTGCATTTAAAACTGCTTATCAGGAAGATAATGAATAGAAACTAAAATCTCCATACATTTTCAAGCGGCTTCATATCACTCTTATAAATAAGTATGGACGATATCACAAATGGCGCAATTATATCCCGTATGGTTAGTACGATAGCCCGAATAGGTGGTTAAGCACTTTTTATGGTTATTTTGTATGCACTGTATTTGTAAAACAACAAAACATGATTAATTAAGAAAAAAATCGTCAATACAGAAAATACAGATTTTTTAATAGAGTGGATACAGATTTTTTATAAAACCACCTGGCAGCTCTGCCTTCTATAGTATTTCTAGTTGACAGGGATACGAGTACATTTTAAAAAATAGCCAGCAAATCAAAATCTAAAAATCTATAAAAATCTGCCATGTTTGCTGGTTTTTAGGTAGGGAAGATTCAGCAGTTTGACGAGAATTAAATCAAGTTCAAGCACTGAAGGCAAGTCTCCAAAATGTCTAAATAAAAATTTAAATTTTGGCGAAGATTGTATAGCCACCGGTATAGCTTCGAACTAAAGTGAACTCTCTACTGGATATATATATTAAAGGGACCATAGAGTAATAGAATTATCGAGTTATAGAACAACAATCCCATGGGAAATCACCATCACAGTGGCCATGACATTAACTTTCACATTATTCGATATCAAGTTAGTGGGCATCGAGTAGTTGAGAGTTGACTGTACCTGCTTATGTCAATACAACTTTTTTGAAGGTTCTATGCCACGGAAATAGTTCTTTGCTGAGTTATTAATTTTGTCCCGCTAGATTGGATTCCAGCAATTTGTAAAAGTTAATCATAAAGCGAACTGCATT